GATGGTAAAATTTTGGATTGATTTAGAGGGACTTGGCTATCTAATCCAAGTTGTGAGATTTAGCCTCCATATATGACTTCACATCCCCTTCCTCACCATACTTGTCTTAGTTCAGCAACTGTAACAAAATACCACAGACTGGGTAGCTTATAAACAACAAACATTTACTGCTCACAGTTCTGGAACTTGGAAGTCCCAAACCAGGGTGCCAGAATGGTTGGGTGAAGGCCCTATTCCTAGTTGAAGACTTCTCAAATCCTCACATGGTGGAAGAGGCAAAAAAAACTCTCTCGAGCCTCTTCTATAAGGACACTAACCTCATTCATGAATACTCACCTTCATGACCTGATCACCTCCCAAAGGCCCAACATACCAGTCCCATCCTACTGGGCATTAAGATTTCATCAACACATGAATGTGGAATTTGGCTGGGGCTGGGGGGTGGAGGGAGCACAAACATTCAAGCTATAGCAATGTCCAATCCCAAATTCTTTTCTATCTTTGGGCAGAATGTACTCTTTTGATTGTTAAGTTTCTTATTTTTAGTTTTTATTTTAATTCCACTTAGTTAACATAGTGTTATATTAGTTTCAGGTGTACAATACAGTGATTTAACAATTCCATGCATTACCCAGTGCTCATCACAACAAGTGCACTCCTTAATCCCCATCACCTATTTAACCCATCCCTCCACCCATCTCCCCTCCAGTAACCATCAGTTTGTATTCTATAATTAAGAGTCTGTTTCTGCTGTTATCATTAAGATAGTATGGTACTGGCACAAAAACAGACACATATCATTGGAACAGAATATAGAACCCAGAAATGGACCCACAAATGTATGGCCAACGAATCTTTGACAAAGCAAGAAAGAATATCCAATGGAAAAAAGACAGTGTCTTCAGCAAATGGTATTGGGAAAACTGGATAGTGATAATGAAGAAGAATGAACTTGGGTGAGCCACTCTGACAGGTGAGAGGTGATATCTCATTGTAGTTTTGACTTGCATTTCCCTGATAAGTGATGTTGAGCATCTTTTCATGTGTCTGCTGGCCATGTGTATGTCTTCTTTGGAAAAAAATGTCTAATCATGTCTTTAGCCCATTTTCTAATTGGATTATTTGGTTTTTGGATGTTGAATTTGATAAGTTCTTTATATATTTTGGATACTAACCCTGTATCAGATATGTCATATGCAAATATCTTCTCCCATTCCATAGGTTGCCTTTTAGTTTTGTTGATTATTTCCTTCACTGTGAAGAAGCTATTTATCCTTATGAGGTTCCAATAGTTCACGTTTGCTTTTGTTTCCCTGGCCTCCAGAGACGTGTCTAGTAAGAAGTTGCTGCGGCTGAGGTCAAAGAAGTTGTCGACTGTTTTCTCCTCTAGGATTTTGATGGTTTTCTGTCTTATATTTAACCTTTCATCCATTTTGAGTTTATTTTTGTGTATGGTGTAAGAAAGTGGTCCAGTTTCTTTCTTTTGCATGTTGTTGTCCAGTTTTCCCAACACCATTTGTTGAAGAGACTGCCCTTTCCCATTGGATAATCTTTTCTGCTTTGTCAAAGATTAATTGACCATATAGTTTTGGGTTTATTTCTGGGTTTTCTATCCTGTTCCATTGATGTATGTCTATTTTTGTGCCAGTACCATACTGTCTTGATGACTACAGCTTTGTAATATGACTTGAAGTCTGCAATTGTGATGCTTCCAGCTTTGCTTTGCTTTTTCCAAGTTGCTTTGGCTATTTGGGGTCTTTTGTGGTTCCATACAAATTTAGGATTGTTTGTTCTAGCTCTACAAGAAATGCTGGTGGTATCTTGATAGGGATTGCATTAAATGTGTAGATTGCTTTGGGTAGTATAGATATTTTAACAAGATTTGTTCTTCCAACCCATGAGTATGGAATGTCTTTTCATTTGTTTGTGTCTTCTTCAATTTCTTTCACCAGAAAGAGAAATTAAGAAAACAATCCCATTTACAATTACGCTAAAAGTAACAAGACACCTAGGAATAAACCTAACCAAAGAGGTGAAAGACCTATACTCTGAAAACTATAGAACACTGATGGTTATTAAATTTCTTAATCCAATTGTATGTGTCCTTCCATCTTTCTTTAAAATAATGAACACTTAGGACACACTGAGATTGCAGACTTCAGTTGCATCACTTAGAGTCATACATGAATGAATAATCGATTATTGTGAACTGCAAATCATGACGGCCAACATCAGCAACACCAACTCTGGAAGACAGATAATCTATGCTGTATCCATTTGACACTAAAAGCAGTGTTGCTTTTGGGACACTTGGGGGCTGGCCATATGGATTTATACATTTTCCCCAACCTTCAGCGTACATTGTCTAAAGCTGGGATTTTTCATGTGCTGGGGCAGTGGTTTCCTAGAACACAGGACTTTCCATGCTAACTCAACAGTGCTATGTAAATAGGAAGAGCCAGTTTTGTAAGCAGAAGGAGTTAGGGGTCTCCAGTAAAAGAAAGTCAAGACACAGCTTTTCTGATACAAAAGAAGTCATTTCAGGCCCCCATCTATCCCCATCCCCTCACCCCCACCCCAACCCCACCCCAAGTCCTCCGCCCCCCATCTATACCCTACTTTTCCAAGCACACTTCCTACAGAACTTCCTAGGAGCTGTCAGAAACACACACACACACACACACACACACACACACAACGCAAAAACCTCAGCAGTTAAGGACTTTGAGGGAACAAAGAAAGTGCAAAAACTAACAGTCTCTACCAGGCAAGAAAATAGTCTAACTGTATCAGAGACAATAATCAGTGGTTAAAACTTCCAGTGCTATTTCAAAAGTAAGCAAGGCCCTAAAGCCCCCTCCCAAGATAAGGAGCCCAAGACCCCAGCTAATTTATACTAGCTCTTGGAGCTTGCCCTTAGCCACTTCCCCTCCTCTGACAGTTACCTCTGCCTCACTATAATTTTAAAGTCTCTGCCCTAGCGGGAGCCCAAGCTTCATTAACACACCATGCCTTTCGTGTTTTCTAAGCTTGTGCAACCTTTACAGACAATGAGAAAGCTCCCCTTTCTGAATATTCATTCTAAACCCTAAATAAAAGGAAACTGCTCACCCCTGCTCAGGGAGTTATGGCTTTGGAAGTTATTCCCCTGATCTCTTTAATTGCTGCAAGTAAAGTTTACTTGGTATAACAACCCTCCTCTCCCCCCCCCCACCCCCGCAGTGTAGTGTCTACCTGTAATTCACCAAGGAGCAAACTCAAAAGAGTTCAGTTACAGTCACCCTCCTCAGTTCAGGGTAGTTAGGAAGTCTTCAAATCCAAATGCCCCATCCTCAGAAGCACCATTTACATAAACTATAACCAAACCCCACTGGTAGTACTGATCTGATGAGGGCAAGATTAGGAAAGATGAACTACTCTGTTGCAGTACCCAGCTTTGTAACCAAGCCAATGTGAGTTTGCTCCTTGTTGAGTCAAACTGCATCAGGTTGAATTGTGACACAAAAAAACTTTATCTGTAGCTAATAAGGAGGTCTAACTGCACAAGCAAGGGTGGATGGGTTCCTTTTATTCAGTGTTAGGATGAATATGTAGATAGGGAAGTCTTGTCACCGTGTATAGGGGCAGGCATAAGGTCACACATGCACCTTAAGGAAACATGCCTATGTGCATATTCATTGTATGTTCATTGTGTGTTATGTAAATAAGGCTTGTGCTCCTCCTTGGGCAGAGATTTCAGCATTATAATGAAATAGAGGTAGTTGCTGGTCATTCTACAGGTCACTCCATGGTCCATCTGCACAGGTGCAAATCAGTGGTTCAAGCTTAAACTGGTCTAAGTGGCTTCTGCAGGCTGCAGGTTTTGTCACAGGAGTCACTACTGCTGGAGGGGCAATTTTGACTTCCATTTGCCCGTGTTCAGAGATTAGTTAGAAGGAAGAGCTTAAGGATAATTATGGGAGAAAGTTTGGGGGGCACAAGCAGGTGGGCAGTAAAGGTCAGGTCTTAGGGTCTAGCTGGTGACAGCTTCTCTTTTATAACAAAAGAACACGTGAACTTCCCCAAATTGAACATAGTCACAAGGCAAGCTTGCCCAACCAAAAGCAAAAGCACTTTCAGGGTCTAAATTCATTAATTACAACTAAAAGATGTTGCCCCAACCCTGGCTTTGCTGATTAAAAAATTCACACAAATTACCAATGCCAGCTCTTTTGGTCTGCACAGTTACAGAATCTGAAGGAGGCTCCAGGCTCCAGGCTCCAGGCCAAATGTGGGGCTCACACTCATGAGCTGTGAGACTATGACCAGAGCCTAAGTCTGACGCTTAACCGACTGAGCCCCAGCCAGTGCTCCTGGTTTGCACAATCTTAAAGCTTGTCTAGATAAAGCATATCTTCTAGCTTCTGTATTCCAAGTGCAGGGGAGGAGACTGCAGAGAAACCCACAGGCCTGCCTGACCTGGAGAAAGAAAATGCTGAGCCTTACAGGAAACAAAAGATCCCGATAATGCATGTGAGCTCAGTAACCATCCACAGCAGAACGCTGTGCCTGCAGCTTCCTTTGTGTGCCCGTGTTCCAGCTCAGGCACCAGGCCACAGGCTGCAAACTCCAGCGCTACCCCCACGTGGGGCCAGGTTCATTGTGTAACCTCGGGCAACCCTCTCTGCACTCTGATTTGGTGACTTCATCTGCAAACCGGGGGTGAATGTCCATGTATTGTTACTGAGGGGATATAAAAATTATAGATGGCTTCAGGAAATAGGAAACAAGAAAGACCATGAGAGAGAACAGGACAAAGAACTGCTTAGAGGGAAACAGGCAAATATTTGGAATATAACTTGGGTCTGTGTTTGGACTGGAGACAGATTTATATCTTCTTAAAAAAAAAAAGTTTATTTATTTATTTTGAGAGAGAGCAGGGGAGGGGCTGAAAGAGAGTGAGAGAGAGAATCCCGAGCAGGCTCCATGCTGCCAGTGCAGAGCCCGATGTGTGTCTCGAACCCACAAACCGTGAAATCATGACCTGAGCCAAAATCAAGAGTCAGATGGTTAACCGCAACTGACTGAGCCACCCAGGTGCCCCTATATCCTCTTTTTTAATAGGTGGGGAGTGATCAGAAGGATGAAAAAGAGAATAGGAGAGTAAAGGAATATTAAGAAGCAGGTGGCAGACCCCACCCCAAGTCTGGGAGCTATGCTTCACAACTATTCAAAACATATTTCTTCACAAACGAGTTCCCTTTAATATTTTCTGGACTAAGCTGGTTTACTACAGTCAACTCTCCTTTATTGCCTCACCCCTGCTGGTAACTCATTTCCTTGTTGAGTCTACTTTCTGATCCTAAAATATATGCAAAACCAACCATACCCATTGAAGTTGTAATTAAGGTGATCGAGGTCTGCATTTTAATTTACACTAAACTACAACAATTTCCAGTATTTCGATTCATCCTGTTAGTATTTGAGTACTTTCTATGTAAGTACTTATGTCAGAGAAATGAATAAAATACTGCGCCAAAGATGGCCAACGGGACTAAAACAAGCTCTGGTCTCTAGCTTAGAGACCACTCCTCCGGGTTCTTCCTTGGTTTGCTGTGCTCACGAAAACCCCCACACTTATGGAAGCTGACAACTGTAAATTACCCTCCCCACTTGCATTCGGCGCTCAGATCTTTGGAGAAACAGTCTCCTCTGAGCCCGCTGGTGTTAAATAAATCTCTGATACACCAAGATCTCTGAGTGCCGCTTGGTTTTTCCACCAGCATTCCAGCCTGGTTCCGTAACATTTATACTAGGCACAAAGGAGAATAATAAAGTAGGAGTTTCTTCTACCTTGAAGTATTGAAAACAACCAGTTGGATTCAATCCTAAATGACAGAAAACTGGCACCTCAGTCAGGTTCAGATGGCCCGTCAGCTGGAACTGGGTGATCCCAATGGCAGTCCAAATGGAGGGTCCCTGAGAGCAGAGATCAGTGGTGGTGGGATCAGTCACAGGATTTCAGAAGAGGCTGAGGATCAACAGGATTTAGGTGGTCACAGGAGGAGGCACAATCGTTGCTTCAGGTGTCAAAGATAAAGTGAGACCTTAAAGTGGTGGAAACAGATTTTATCGAGTAGCTCCTATCAGTTGGGGAAAGAGCTGAGCCCACCCCAATTTGTGCAGAGCTGACTGGCATTTTCAAAGGGAGACTGAGAGAGTAGGGAGGGGGTGTGGGCAGGGGCCCAATAGAGGCAGGGAAATGAGAACTTTCAAGAAGTGGGTGTCAGTGTAATCATGGTTAGCTCAGCTGTATCTGCTGGCTGGCAATCATGAAGTTAGGATCCTGTCTTCCCACGGAGACTGGCAGACAGAAGAGGTCCAGTCCTTTCTGATGATTACATTTCAGAGGAATGGCTTTTGGGTCCTTGAGAAAGACACTCCCAGGTTGTAGGAGATATGTATACATTTCAAAGGAACAGAGGAAAAATACACAACTGTAAGCTTATTTTAGTAAATGCTCCAAGAAAGAGGCGTGTCAGAGCTCTATCTGCAGGTCTTGGTTAGGACAAACGATGCATTCCTTGAGTTTTTTTCAAATAGGAGCTCAAAAGGAGGCTGGGTCATCACAGGGATGCAAACTTGGGCTTCCAGAAGTCACGGTAGGTCAAGTCTTAGTGCAAGGGTTTGGACGGAGTCATTATTTGTGGAAAGTTTGTTTCACCCAAAGAAAGAATTGCAGTATGGTTAATATCTGAGACATAGGCAAGTTATTTGAAAGCAGGGAGATGGAGAACTTTGCAAGTGAGGCAGAGGAGTCAGTGTGTGCTAAGGGCAGCAAGAAGTCACAGGAGTTTCTGTTTTTGCTTCTAATGATAACTCCTGATGAGGGAGTATAAGGCAAGGGGACAGGCCGCACCACTACTCCGGCGCCACACCCAGGGGGGATATGTGTGATATTCTTCAGGCACTCCTGGCTGCCCAAGAACAAAGGAAAGGGGAAAAACAAATGGCTAACTGATAGAGATCATAGTCCTGCAGGACCCGATCCATCTATTTACAAATATTTTAGTAAATCACAAGAAAAAGGCAATCTTGTCAATAGCCTAATCTCCAGAAACCTATAGACTCTGTTTCCTGGAGCCCCAATATCACCCCTCCATAGTGATATGGGAAACAAAGGCAGAAGGAAGTGGCAGATAGAACTCAATTTCCTTATAACCTGCAGCCCATTGGCAAATACTTGAGGCAGGTAGAGTAAAACCGTTCTCCAGGAACTCCCTACTGTCTTAATGCTAATGCTTTGCTAGAGGGAAAACCTTAGCTTGACACTGTCAAGGCCTCCTGTATCCTGTGAGTCTTCTTTAGCATATGGAAGTCTCATTGGAAACTTAACCTGGACTTTACCTCCCCCATCTCCTAGTATGTAACCAGTCTCTCCTCGTGGTCCCAGAGCAGCTCTTTCTGCCCACGGATCCTGTCCCTGTGCTTTAATAAAATCAGCTTTTTGTACCAAAACATCTTCAAAGATTCTTTCTTGGCCATCAGCTGCAGACCTTGTGAGCCCCACTATCACCCCAAAAAAACCTCACCATATGTATTAGGCTTTATGTGAAAGGGGTTAATGCAGCAGTGGTATGCAGGGCAGAAGCAGGGACAGTGGTGATTGGACCCCGGCTCCATCAGGGCCTCAAACTGAAGCAGGATAAGGTGAGGAGAGCCTCATCTGGGGTGATGGAGGTGGGGAGGGAAGTCAGGGGTCAGGAGACCCTTTGGAGAAAAACACACCCAGCAGTACCTGAGGAGTGGCCTAGGATGGGAGGAGTGGGGGTGGGGTGAATTCTAGTTTCCAGCATTACTGACAACTGAGGGGAAACTGGCTTCCTGACTTAGGGGTGAGGAGGGAGCATATGTGGGCTTGGGCTGGTGTTGAGCATGAGGTGCTGGGAGGCAGCAGGTATAGCAGTCCAATGGGGGCCTGAGATTGCCGGGACTGCAGACTGGGGGAGCACTCTGAGTGCAAGGAAGATGGCTGTGGGAGAGCTGTGGGCCCCCACGGTGAGAGAGGAGCAGAGAGGCCTGGGGGAGAGCAAACTCAGGGGAAGGAGAGAGGGAGGAGGCACAGAGAAAGGAAGCATCTCATTTTACTGGATGCATGCATGGGTTTTCCTGGATGGATGTGTGTATGCGTTGCATGCGTTTTAGTGGATGCATGTATGTATGCATGCATGCATGTATTTATGTGGCCTCTCAATTTATGTGCACGGGTTTGAATTCAAGGACTAGGTAATACCTTTTGACAAATGAAAGAGAATACTGTACAAATTCTGTAAACTTCAGATAGTTATTTCTTCTAAAAAGGAACTATTTTAAAAGGCTGGTTCATTGCAAATTGAGATGATTAACAAATGAGTAGAGGGCGATCACCAGAAGGCAGGACAGACAAGGCCCGTGGTGGCGCTCTGAGCGGGAAGAGAGCCATGGGGCAAAGAGTGGGTGCCATGCTGGGAGCCAGGAGGGTAGAGATGGGGGTGGGTGGAGCAGAGGAGTCATCTTCCAGGAGGAGCAACAGGGAATCCGAGACCCAAAGGCTGAGGAATGTGAGCCAGAGAAAGCCAGGGGGTTCGAATTCAAAATGAATCCCTTTTTGCGTCTATATGTATGTTTCTTGACCACTGTTTCTGGCCATTGTTGTAATATATTATCAACATCTAATTTTAGAGGAACTATATTTCCAAATCTTACCTAGTAGACACGCAATACTCAGAAGTCTCAGGAGCCCTTATGTCATCAAGTATATACCATTTTGTTCACGTGACCGTTCACACACTCAAGGCAACTTCTCAGCGGGAGAGTCGTTTAAGGGGCTTCACCTACAACTGCATTTCCTCTGAAATTTCGAATTCCAGTCCACTCACTCTGTAGTCCACTCACTCTTTGACCACAGCCTCTTAATATTCACCTGGAATCCTCTGCCAACCCCTTGCCTGCTCCCTAACCTGCACCCCACCCAGCAATCTCCTGACCTTCCTTCTCGCCCGCCTCCCTGTCTCAGATGCAGAATCACCTGGCACCTTTGCCCTCCTCTCTCTGTTCCTGTCCTTCCACCCCAACAACCCCAGACCTCGGGTCCCTCCTGTCTTCCCTACTTCCCCAACACCTGTGGCTGCCGGAGATGCGGACGGCGTTGCCACAATGGCAGTATCTAGCTGTGGGCAGAGGGCTTCATGCTGTGTGACCAGCCTCCACTTCTCCTGGACCTTCTCCCTCTCCTTTCCCCTCATCAGCCATGCTCAATCTTCCCCCTCTTCTGAGGCCTGTGAGCTTCACTCTTTGCTGATGGCTTCACCTCCTACCTCAAAAAAAGGAGAAGACATCACACGCATTGTCCCTTCTCATCCCCACGTGTGCCTCCTATTCACGGCTCCACAGGCTGGCCCACCTTCTCCAGGCCCTCCATAAAGCACACTGACTGTCAGAGAGACACAAGCGAGACACTCACTTAGGGCACCAAAAAGCTCAGTAATCAAAATAAATACTATTGTAAAGCAATGCTTTTTTAAAATCAAAATTAATGCACAAAACCCATGATAAACCAAATTTCAAAATTTTAAATAGAGATAGGATCTAACCCTGCACTCATTCCACCCTGCCTCACTCCCCTCATGCTAATTCTATATCCTGCTGGATATAGGTGCTAAATGTTGCTAACTGGAAATCACCTGGATTCTGCATTCACATATACATACTGGAAACAAAGTTTCACAAATATTTATACTTATTATATGGTAATCTACATTTTCACTTTTTAAGAAAATTCTGATAGAACCCACTAAATGGATTCCATGAACCATCAAATGGAGGCCTGCAAATTTGAAGAAACCAAAACCACCAGTAGAGGGCACCAAAGTTCTCTCCGACAGTAAAGGCATCCTCTTCCTTTCGGATCATTGCCAAAACAAAAACCAACCCCAAAGTTCCTCAAAGGAGGTGATGTCATCCAAAGAGAAGACTAGAGGACTATAAGTAGGAGATACTATATGATTATTAGAAAAAAAACTAAGTCATTTAAATTTTTTAAAAAATGTTTTTTTTTAATGCTAAGTCATTCAATCATTCCATTCTGACTCTACATTCCTCTGTTAGGGAAATAAAGCATTATAATGAGGGGTGCCTGGGTGGCTCAGTCTGGCTCTTGGTTTCACCTTAGGTCATGATCTCAAGGTTGCTGGGTTCAAGCCCTGCATTGGGCTCTACTCTGGCAGTGCAGAGCCTACTTGGGATTCTTTCTCTATCTCTCTGCCCCTCCCCCACTCATGCGGTCTCTGTCTCTCTCTAAATATATAAACTTAAAAAATAAAATTAAAATTAAAAAAAATTAATATTTAATTTTTTTTTTTTTTTTTGAGAAACAGAAAGAGCATGAGCAGGGGAGAGGCAGAGAGAGATGAAGACACAAAATCTCAAGCAGGCTCTAGGCTCTGAGGTGCCAGCACAGAACCTGACATGGGGCTCCAACCCACAGACTGTGAGATCATGACCTGAGCTGAAGTCTAGTGCTTAACCAACTGAGCCACCCAGATGCCCCCCAAAAAGATTTTTTTAAATACTATAATAAAACCTGCACTCCTAATGTCTCTAAATCCCCTCTATGGAAATACACTCATATTTTAGGTCTCTTATTTCAGCGTGAATAGTTTCATATGAATTAGGAAATAAGACTGGTATTTTCATCAAAACTCAACCTAGTTTTTTGTGGTTTTTTTTTTGCATCTGGCATCCATGAAATACAGCCAGATCAACACTAAACCATTCCGCACACCTAGAAAACTGATTTGAGAATTAACACAACAATCTTCACAACCTGAACCACAGAATTCAGCAGGTATGCAGCACAAAGAGGTGAACTGGGGGAGAGAGAAGCCACGGAGGACAGGGAGCTATTTTTGCTTGCAGAGAGAGGACAGAGATGGGGCGGG